TAAAGTATTATTTTTACTGGAGCTCTTTAAATAATTTCTTTTAAAACTTTCTTCCCAGTAAGCTACATCTGTTATATACAGTTGTTTTGTTTTGTTTTGTTTTTTTCCTTATACCTAGCTGTGTTTTTGTTGTTGTGGTTGTTTTTCAGAGACACTTACAAGAGCAAACAAAAGAGAAGGAAAAAAATGAGACTCAATTAAACTAGTCTTCAGTAAGACCTTAAAACTTTTTTATAGTCACTTTTAAAATGGAAGAAGGAATTTATGTTGAGATATCCACAAGAGCAAAATATAAATTTTTTAGGATGTTTGGTTTAAATGATTAAGAATTTTTCTATTTTTTGCAAAAACTGTATCAATTTTCTCTTTATGCCACAGAAAGTGATCTCTTTGGTTTTGCTTATTAAACATAACTTCTGTTTTTGAAACCTTTTACTATATTTTAGTCTAGCATCTGTGTGCACTTAGAAGTTGAATAATAATAATAATGACACTAATATTCATAATTATATAAATGACCATAATTTCTTAAGTTTACTCTGGGCCAGGCACTGAGTTAATGCCACAACCGTCTATGATTATAAATTTATTGACTAGGTTTTGACTTGTAAATGAAAGTCTAATTGCACATATTTTTCAACGCAAATAGTTATAATACCTTCCATGAGGACGGAAAAAAAAAACCTCAGTAGTTTCAAACAGTTAATGCACTGGGCTGCCAACTGAAAGGTTGGAGATTCAAGTCCACCCAGAAGTGCCTTGGAAAAGACTTGGTGAACTACTACTGAAAAATCAATCACTGAGGAGCCTAAGGAGCACAGTTCTACTCTGACATACAAGGGGTCAGCATGAGTCAGAATTGACTTGACTGCAAGTGGTTTAGTTATACTGGCAGAATTAGTTATACAGATAAAATGAAACATCTAAAGCAAGAAACTTTTAACAAGTTATTACATATGACAAAAAATATGAAAAAGCTCTAAGAAAATAGAAAACATGAATTTCAAATATAACCAGACTAGTGTGGCATCCTTTTCCCAGTACTATTTTAAGAATACTTATGGCATAGCTTACAAAAAAATTGATTGCTGTTATGGTGTGAAAAATGAGCCCCGGTGGCGAAGTGGTTAAGCACTCATCTGCTAAATGAGAGGTGATGCTTCAAATCCACCAGCTGCTCCATAAGAAAATATGTGGCCGTCAGCTTTGGTAAAGTTTTCAACCTTGGAAACCCTGTGGGGCAGGTTTACTCTGTCCTAGAGAGTAGCTCTGAGTCAGAAGCGACTCGACGGCAATGGGTATGGCTTACAAATCTGGAAAACATGATGGAGTATGGCCGAAGTATCTGACTTTGCAATGACTTTTAGGACTTTTTTAATACAACAATCTTCAATATTAATTTTCTCCTCAGAAATTGATATACTTTTTCTTCTTAATTATCACAATTCCCTTTACAAAAATTATTGATCTGTTACATAATATGTGACACTGTTTTGGAACTAGTAATTCAATAAAGAGCAAAACAGACATAATACTATGATGAGGGCTAAAAAGGAAAGCACAGACAGTCATCATAATAATATGCAGAATTGACCTAGTGTTGGGTCAGGGTAAATATCCAGGTAGGAGAGGCCTTTGAACCAAGATTTGAATGACAGATGGGAACTAGTTAGGGGAAGAGGTGAAGAAAGAACACTTCAAGTTGAAGGATCAGAATATTCTTGAGTTGAGCTAAGGAGCTAAAAGAAGCTTGTTGAGTTTGAAGAACTAAAAAGTTAGTAATGATAGAGAACAGGGGTTACAGAGGAGAATTTTGTAAGGTGAGGCTTCAGAGGCAGGCAGGTCTTAGAGCTCTATTAAGAATTCTGGCCCTGTATCTTAAGGATAATGTTAATTCATTGATAAGATTTTGGAAAATAGTGTGTTGTGCTGATATTGTTGTTGTTGCTGTTGTTTTGATGGTGGGGGTCGTGGTATTTTTTTCTGATTTGAAAAGATTACTCTAGCTACATGGTAGAGAATGGAACAGTTGGAGGAAGGGCTAAGGTGGATGCTGATGATGCAGTTGATCCCTCCATGATCAACAGAACTTCATGTCAGATATTCTAAATGTTAAAATCTCAACTAACAGACACATCTTGATGTTTTATTCTCCTGGACAAACTCTTTGACTCATGTACAAATTTACACCCCTATACAAGTACTGTTACCCCATTATAGAACTGTTCCAATATCATTTTTAAAGTTTGCTAGCCTACGTCCATAATATCCATCTTTCCTTTCCCTTTTGGGAATCAAAATGTGTTTTCATCACTACCTGAGTATCATGCACACTCTCCTCCCCTGCTATCCACTGGAAATTCTTAAAGGAATTCTCTGGTTAAACTCTTATTGAAAGAGAGTGTGTAATTTTGATATGTGAAGAAACTGGTTTGAGGTGGTCCCAGCCCCTGGCTTATGATTACTCTCCCTACTTCCATCTTGCAATACATTTCTCATAAACAATGAAATCTGTCTTTATATTATGAGTCTGTGGTCTTTTCCCCACAATAGTGGAAATAAAATAGGAGATTTTAGTCATTTAAGACAAGGCTGATGAGATAGTGGCAGTAGGGAGAGGAAATAACATAGTCAAGAAATACTCAGAAAGTAAAATCAAAATGGCCTTATCTTTCATTGGAAGGAGAGCTATAAGAAAAAAATGTTTTAAAGATGATACCCACAATTATGTCTTGCATAACTGAATGAATGATGATGCTGGTTACTGAGTTAGAGAACATTTATAGAAGACAGGAGCTAGCCATACTAAGAACTGGGTTAAAAGCGTTCCCAAGAAGTGAGCGAACACATCCAAAAAAGTCCACAAGATGAAAAATAATATGACATATTCAAGAAAACACAGAAAGGCCAGTGTGGTTAAATGGATAGCACTGCCGAGTGAAAAGAGCAAAGCTGAGGTCAGACAGCTAGGTTTAGACAAGATAATGTATGGTTTTGTTCACTACCATGAATAGCTAGGATTTTATTCTAAGTACAATAAAAATGTAAGAGTTTAAACATGAAAATTCATAATATGATTTAAATTACATGAACATAGTTTTGCAGTCTTTAGTAAAATGAACTGAAGGAGTAAAACAGTTGTAGCAGATCAGTTGGGTGGTTGTCATGTAATGCAGACGAGATGATGGTGACCCAAATGTAGGGATGGCAAATGATATGATAGAAGTGCAAGGAATAAGGAAATATTTAGAAGATACAATTAATAGGTCATGCTACGGTTTATGTGAAGGAATAGGAGGAGTGGTTGAGAGAAAGGAAAAAAATCAATGATACACCTAGGTCTCTAAGTAAATGATGGCATGTAGGGAAAAGCAAAAGATTTGTGGCAGAAAAGAAATAAAGACTCCACCTTGAATATGTTAAATATGAGACGTCTGTAACACATTTAAGTGAAGATGTCAGACATTTGTTGGAAATGCAAGGCTGAAGTCCAAGAAAATGTCTGCATTGGAGATATATATCTCCATGCAATAGAATGAGTTTTAAGTCTGAGAAAATGGCTGCAGTCACCTAGGGGAGACAGGGTAGAGAAAATAGAGAATTAGACCCCAATGAATACTTAGGTCAAATACAAGAAGAATAGTCAGTGAAAGAATATGAAAAAGAGCAATTAGTGAGAAAGAAGGAAAAGCAGGAGACAGTAGAATAACAGAACAATGGAGAGAGCAGGAGAGAGTGGTTGACCACTTGAATACTGCTATGAAGGATAAGATGAGGACAGAGAAGGGTGCATTGAGTTTAGCAACATATATGTCATTGGTGACACAAGAACAGATTCAGTGAAAGGATGATAATGAAAACCAAATGGCAAAGAGAAGAAAAATAACTGAAATTGAGGACATGAATAATGTGTGATGAAAACACAGAAGTTTGGCCGAGAAGGGGCCCAGAGAAATGAGGCTGTACCTGGAGAAAAATCTGGGGGTCAAGGATTTTTAGTTGCAAGATTCTAGTACCTGTAATCTGAAGGGAATAATCTGGCAGGAAGGGAAAGATTACCAAGGCAGGACAGAGAGAATAATCTAAGCATAAAGTTCTCATAAAGATTTAAAAAAGGAATGGTATAATGAATGAAGTGGAGGGAATGGCCTTTGATAGAATGGGTGCACATTCTTCATTAAAACAGGACGAAAGAATAAGATGATAGGGGGTCAGTATAGGTGGATTTGTAGGCAGAAAGAAGAAGAGTTTCTCAGTATGGATTTTACGTTCTCATTTAACTACAAGGAAAACAACTGAGAGCTATCAGAAGAAATAGGTGAAAGCGTAATAAATCCCACATTTAAAGTCAAGGTGAAGGAGAATGAGCAACTAGAGGGTTAGGGAGAGAAAAAGGAGCATTTGGTGTCACAAAAGCCCTAAGTAAATATCTATGTCAGAGGTTAAGAGAAGGAACAAAAAGCCATACAACAATATTAAGTCATTAGAAAGAAAAACAAAAAAAAATTAAAGAAGGTAGAGGATTTCTGCAAGCTTAGTATACATAAGAATAGCAGATTGTATAAATAAAGTTTCTTATTTTTTTAACTCTATTAATAGCAAAAGTGCTTTAATATTGTGAAAACTATCCCAACGCAATGACTTTGCATGGGGATCTTCATTAAAACAGCTATCCCTAATTAATTGTTAGATAAAATCTATGGAAGAATAACAGACATACTTGTATCAGAAATACAAGGCTGGGCAAACGGTGTTCATAACAATAAGCGTATTTGTTAAGATGCCTTTCTGACTTCTTAGAAATTTCTTTGACAAATGGGTTAAAGTGAGTCTTCTAATTGCTAGAAAATGTTATTTGAAGTTATTTTATCATTGTAAAATTTTAGGTGATTTCTTATGCTTTTCTGAGTTTTTCAAGTAGATTACTTATTACAGCTTTTGCTAGAGAAAGAATGAATTATAAGAATTAAATCTGCATAATAAAAGACATGCACAGGTATTTTTCTGGATGTATGTATTTAATTTGAAATTTATAATTTAGATTCAGCATGTATTGCAATAAATGGATCCTCAGCAAAGTTGCTAATGGAAAAATTAGCTTTGCCATCACTGGAAACATAGATTTTAATTCCTGTGCAATTGCCATCAATTTTATCTCCAGAAATGACATCACAATATGTGCCAGCAGGAAGACCAGTTTGCAAAGTTACAGATAATGACCTGTAAAATAAAATTTAAGATGTAATTCAAATTCAACATGATGAAAAAACAAGAATACAGACTATCTTTATAACAAAGAAACACCTTAACTTTGTGCCTTAGCACTCTAAACAGTCAAAGTCTCAGGGAAAAGAAAATCCATCACAAAGACCTCTCCAATGGATGTGAATGGATTTCTCAGGACTGAAAAAAGTTTCATAAGAGAATGAGTGATTCCTTAGGGTACTGATTATTGCCATAAAATTAAGCTTGAAGACTATCAGGAAAGATTTCAGGGATTTGCTACCCTTAGATAAAATTGTGACTTTTGATAACCAAAAATATTTTAAATTTGTTCTCACCTGAACTTAAGAAAATACTGATCTCTCTCTAGAGTTTCAATTTGGTCATTTCTTCAAAAAATCTCATTTTTCAAGAGGCTAAAATGAACTTGGGCTAGGGGTACAAATAATCAGCACTTCTGTGAAGAAGAAGTATATGGTTTGAAATGTAAAGCTGTTTTATGTAAATTAAGCTCAGTTCTCCTAGCTACAAAAGACAACAATTGAAAAGATGAGCTATGGGCTCTTTTGGCAACAAAGTTGACAGATGAGTTGACTTTCTTTCCCAGTAGAATATAATTTAGGCTATAATAAGTTAAGTATAAGTGGAAGCTGAGCTTGCACTAAAACATTTCAACTGTCTGCAAAGAGCTCCAATTCTCATATGAGGAAATCAGTATACTAGAGGCTGAGGATGTAAGTGTCACAAATGAAAGGCCAGTAAAGAGAAGTTTCAGAACTAAAACTCAAAAATCTTCTAAGGCAAATCACTAGCGATAAGAAACATATTCTTTATGCATATGCTTTAAAATGTATTTGTCTCCAGAAGACAGAGAAAAAAGAAGACCAAATAACAAGATACAAAAGTAGTTAGAGAATGAGCAGGAAAAGAAATATTTCAGTATTGAGATGGCACTTTTTTAATTATTAAACAAAATAGGACTACAAGACATGTCCTTCTAGAGTTTTCACAACTCTTATTTTAACTACTTGTGTATTTTGTGTAGGGTGTGTGTGTGTGCATATACATGTGCAGTATATACCCACATGATATGCAAGGGTACACTAAACAGAAAGCCCTAACAAACAGGAGACCGGGAGAATAAGAGCCATCATCACTCTTTTTCTAAATCTTTTTTGATATCTATTTTTTCTGAATCTACTGACTGAAAGGATTTTTCAAGTCAGGAAAAGTAGATGAACAGGGAGAGAAAAGAATAAACCAAGAACCTACTAGTATAAACTACTATTCTAAATTGTTATCTACTTACCAGTCATCATTGTTAAAGACAATAAATCCTTTGTTTCCCCTTCCAAAAGCCACTTGGTTGCTTCCATTATCCCACCAGTTTGTAAAAGCCTCGCCATCAACTACATTACGGAAAGCAACCATGTTCCTAAAAAAAAAAAAAAAATCACCTAAAATGGTAATGAATAATTCAACAGCTGAAAATAAAATGTTAAAAAGAATCTATCATTAGGCAGTATCTAAAAAAAATTCCCACCTTATTTGACGCCATCGATGTTCGCAGACCCAGCCATTGCCACAAGTAGTGTCTGGATTAATTGTAACTCTTTTAATTACTCCGCCATCATTTGGTGGCCCAATCCAATCATTAACATCCTTAATTAGGAAAAACAAAAGTTCAGATGGAGAACATTACATACATTTGCCTCTTCCTTTCAGTACACCAAATCTAATCTTTCCCGCTACTTATTTGTGTCTCTGCAGTGCCTTTATTTAGAATCCAGTTCCTTTAGTGTTTTTACAACCCTTTACCAACTCCTCTCCCCAGGTTTCATCCTCCAGTGCTGTATTTCAAACAGGGGTAAGATTTTTTTTATCCTCTATTTTCTTTCCAAGAAACTGCAATGGCTTGATAATATCACTATAGGCAATGCAATGTCTTTAAAAAGGCAAGGGCTTAGTGCCAGAAAACCAGGATTAAAACATAGACTCTATTTTTACCAGCTAAAGAAGTGTAGTCAGTATACATAAATTCTCTGAGCCTCAGTTTCCTCATCTATAAAATGGGGACATTATTTTTTGCTCCAACAAATAATGTAATTCATTTTAAAAGTACTTTGAGTATAGTAATTGCTAAATAAATATTAGATTCATTCTTCTATTTGGATACAGGTACTAATCAATCCACCACAATGTTCTTTACTAAATTGAACACATTTTTAATAATGCCTCTTCCTGATTATTGCTTTTAAAGAAAATCACTAAATAAAAAAAAAAAAACAGAAAAATCTAAGAGGAACATTAGTGTAAAAATAATATCACATGATGAATAGCAGACAAAACTAAGAGTTATTAGCATGGAGAAGTCTGTGAAAGGTAAATTTTGTGAAATATTTGAAGGAAAGGTATGGGGAAAAAAATAACAGACACAGTCTATGACTCCTAATTTCAAAAATAATACTGAGCAGTAGAAATTTTAAGAAATTGGTTCAATATAAAGAGATGCGTTGTCAATATTAAAGATGTCTAACACAAGAATGAGTTTCTGTATAAAGTAGTGGGCTTCTCAAATTGAAAGGAATCTGGAAGAAATAAATAAATATCTTTCTGTTTTGTTGTGAAGATGATTTTCTGTTAGGTATGAAGTTGCTGTACGATGCTGATTGTGATTAAAAAGAAAATCTTCCACCAGCGTTCCAAATACTTCCCACATCTTATTTCTCGGCTCCTTTTAAAAATCGCTAGTCAGATTAATGTCTTTATCATACCCAAATATTTTTCTCATTCTTTTCTTTCCTGCAATAGTCTGCAAATTTCCCTCTTTGTTGTTGTTTTTGGGTGCTCTAACTCATAGCAACAGAAAGTACAACAGAACAAAACACTGCCTGGTCCTGCACCATCCTCACAATCTTTGCTATGTTTGAGCCCATTGTTGCAGCCACCCTATCAATTCACCTCCTTGAGGGACTTCCTCTTTTTCACTGATCTGCTACTTTTCCAAACATGATGTCCTTCTCTAGGGACTGGTCCAAAGGACACAAGAAGTCTTGCCATCTCCCTTCTAAGGGGCATTCTGGCTGTACTTCTTCCAAGACAGATTTGTTCATTTTTCTCGCAGTCCATGGTATCTTCAATATTCTTTGCCAACACCATAATTCAAAGGCAGCCATTCTTCTTCAGTCTTCCTTATTCATTTTCCATCTTTTGCATACTAGATGATTGAAAATACCATAGCATTCATCAGCCACACATTAGTCCTCAAAGTGACATCTTTGCTTTTTAACACTTTAAAGAGGTCCTTTGCAGCAGATTTTTCAATGTAATATGCCGTTTGATTTCTTGACTGCTGCTTCCGTGGGTGTTGATTGTGGGTCCAAGTAAAATAAAATCCTTGACAACTTCAATATTTTCTCCTCTGGTCCTGATGTCTTGTTCTTCTTCAAGAAGTACAGCTGCTTCGGTTATTTGCTGAGCATACTGATTGAATAAGCATGGTGAAAGGATACAACCTCAATGCAGAGCACCTTGATTTTAAACCACGCTGTATCTCCTTGTTCTATTCAAACAACTACTTCTTGGTCTATGTACAGGTTCCACATGAGCACAATTAAGCGTTCTGGAAAACTCCTTCTTCACAATGTTATCCATAATTTGTTACAGTCCACTTAGTCAAATGTCTTTGCATAGTCAATAAAACACAGGAAAACATCTTTCTGGTATTATCTGCTTTCAGCCAAGATCCATCTCACATCAGCAATGATATCTCTCGTTCCACATCCTCTTCTGAATCCAGCTTAGTATTTCTGGCAGTTCCCCTTCGATGCGCTGCTCCAACGGTTTTTGACTTACCTTCAGCAAAATCTCTTCTTTAGTATATACAATTTCCTTCTCTACATAAAAAACTTTCGCCATTTAACCTCTTCCTTAGCTCCTCTGGATCATTTGTTTGCTTTGCATTCCAAAGAACTTTTTAAAAACTATTTAACAAATATTTATGTTGCTGTTACTATGGGCAGGCACTATTTTAAGTCCTTTACAGGTGCTAACTTGTATAACCCTCATACCAATCCTATGAGATAGGTAACCATGAAAAGTACATATTTAATTTGCTGTAACTTGCTCTTCTATTTAAGGGTTTTTTTTGGGGGGGATATATTTGTCATATTTCTGAAACAGCTTGCATATTCTTTGACAACAGAGACCACGAATTTTAATTCTTTAATATCCATTCTATTACTTCAATCTGAGTCCTGAATCAAGTTTACATTTAATAAATATTTGATAAATAAATGAACGTGAAAGTAAAATAAAATTTCCTTCTTTTGCTTTTGAAGAAGATAGTTTAGAAAACTCAAAAACTTACCTTTCCATTCTGAAAATTTCTATCCCAACTGTAGCTTGACATTACTCGTGTAAATCCATAAGGATGAGCAAGCATTAATCCAACTCCCATTTTATACAGTCTGAAAGTTACAAAGTGATATTATCATAGAATAAAATTTTTTTTTACTATCATTGAAAGGTAGGTAAAAAGTGGGAAAATTTGTTTCTACCTAGAGTCCCAGAATGTAAGAATAGATGCTCCTCCAGCTCCATGTCCTCGCTGATTATCATGGTTATCCACAAAGACAAGTGCTCTGTCAGAAGGCATGAAACCCCAGCCTTCTCCCCAGTTCCTATGGAGAAAAAAAACAGAGTAACCTAAATGTATATCTCTCTTTTGTATAGCACCCTCACATTAAATTCTCCCTCTAGTTATTAATTCATTTATCTGTAGGACTGTGTATTATATATGAACTACACAGGCACACCTATACAGAATGTCTACAAATACGTTTATCTGTGTGTATGTGTTTGAACGGATTTCTTGTATTCCAGTCATGTTATTGGTATAAGATTTTGTTATAAAAAGTTCTTTTAGAGATTTCAATATATTGCAATTTAAATTAACTTCAGTAGGGTCAACATCCATATTACATTATAAAGAATGGCAATCTAAGTTAAAATAAGGCTTCAATATTGTATTCTTATATAAAAACCCAACGCATTTTAATATTTCAAATTAACTAACTGCTATATATATACATTTCATAATATAGCGCTTCTTAAAATGTAGGATTATTTTAATAATAACCTAACCATAACATACTATATACAAATATTAGCCAAATCTAATATAATCATACTGTACATAGACTAAAATCTCTAGGTTATGTTTTGAGTTTATAGACATACTTCCTTGTGATTGGCATAATAATGATGACCTACTGGAGTTTGGGGATCTATAATACTTATTATTAACATTTGAATCCTTGACAGTTGTCTGAATTAAAAGAAGATCTTAAGAAGATAACTCATATAGTTATATAGTTAATAGACCTGTGAAATAATTCAAATAACAAATCATATTATATTTACACTAAGTAACGCAGCTTCTCTCCATTCCATTTGCGCAGCACTGTGCCTAGTTTTGCACCATATTTGAATTCTGTCACACGGCCGTTTCCAAAGTATTCACTGCCTTTAATTGGCTCAGTACCCATATCAATTACCTGGTAGAAATACAGAAAATAGTATTATTCTACATAAGAACTGCAAAGTATTTTAGCCAACAAATTAACATATACAAAAAAAGTGTCAACCATTGGAAAAGCCCAATTTTGGTTTTCCTTATACCAAAATACATATTTATGTATTTACTTAGCTGGAATGTATGCTACAATATTAAAAGAAACATAAAGACAAGGTGAACCAGTTGTCTTGTGAAAATGCTGATATAACTTAATCTTCTATGTAAATTATAACAATAGCTAAGGTTTACTACCTTCCCAGAAACATTGCTAAGTGCTTGATGAATATTAACTCATTTAATTCTGCCAAGAAAACTAAGACGTAACTATTTTAGTAAGTTTCTTTCTTCATATGTAAAAGTAGTTTCACAGAGAGGAAAATCAATTTGCCCAAATTCACACGGAAAGTAACATTATAGCCAAGATTCAGACTCTGATAGACTAGCTCCACACAACAACTATATTATTCTCTTTTTTTTCCATATATTCTCTGGGGAAATGGTAAATGAAATAGTAAAGTTTGCAGCTTAAATAAATTCTCTGCATTTCCACAGAACTTATCATGATAAAGAGTTAGATGTCTTATCTCTGAACAAAAGGTGTTTTAAAAAAAACAAAAAACACACTGTTTTATATAAATGGCTTACCCATTAACCTTCATAAATATTTAATTAAACATGTCATTTACATTCAAGTGAATGAAATGAAATTATTTTATAGGCACAAGTATTTATGATGTACCTCCTGGAAAATGAAAGCTCTACTTCCTGAGGAGAACCAGCGAGTGTTTAGATTATTCAGTTGATTCAAAATCGCCTTTATGTCTCCAGGCCACATGTGCTTGGAAGCATCAAGTCTGAATCCTGCCACACCAATGTCAATGAGTTTGTTCAGATATTCAACAATCTTGGAACGCACATAATCTTTCCCCAGTGCAAGATCAACAAGACCAACCAGACGACAGTCTCTGACCTGTTGAGGTAAAAATTTTGTGATTGATATATAAAAAAACAAATCTTTCCTCTGAGAATCCATTTGATTTTTCCTTCATATGTTTATTCACCATAGATATTTCTGAAGTGTCTTCTTAGCCTTGGGCATTGGGCATATTGACATTCTAGTATAGACACAATTTGGAAGTATTGTCTAGCAAAAAACAGAGATGTAGGAAATAAAGTGGATGAGCTTTGTAATTGACTGAAGTTTTTTAATAATCCGATTTTCTTTCTTTCTTCTTCTTCTTTTTTCAATCATTAGACCTAGAAGCATACTGTTTTTCAAGGAAATTTAAATCTGTTTCAAATTGAATTCAACCCAAGAAGATAAAGTACTTAGGAATAAATCCTACCAGAGACGTAAAAGACCTATACAAAGAAAACAACAAAACACAACTTCAAGAAACCAAAAGAGACCTACATAAGTGAAAGACATACCATGCTCATAAATAGGGAGACTCAACATTGTGAAAATGCCAATTCTACCCGAAGCTATCTAAAGAAACAATGCAATCACAATCCATATTCCAACAGCATTCTTTAATGAGATGGAGAAACAAATCACCAAGTTTACATGGAAAGGGAAGAGGCCCGGATAATTAAGCATTACTGAAAAATAAGAACAAAGGGGGGAGGTCTCATACTCCCTGATTTTAGAAGCTATTACACAGCCAGGGTAATCAAAACACTTTGTACTGGTACGACAACAGACACATAGCCCAATGGAACAGAATTGAGAACCCAGAAGTAAATCCATCCATCTATCAGTAGTTGATATTTGACAAAGGGCCAAAGTCCCTTAAATGGGAAAAAGACAGTATCTTTAACAAATGGTGCTGGCATAACTGGATGTTCATTTGTAAAAAATGAAACAACATCCATAGCTCGCACCATACACAAAAACTAACTCAAACTGCATCAAAGGTCTATATATAAAATCTACAATGATACAGATCATGGAAGAAAAAACAGACATAACAATAGGGATCCTAATACGTAGTATAAATAGTATACAAACCATAACTAACAGTGCACAAACACCAAAAGGGAAGCTAGGTAACTGAGAGCTCCTAAAAACTAAACACTTAAGCTCATCAAAATACTTCACCAAAAGACTAAAAAGAGAACCTAAATATACTTTGAAAAATGTTGCGGTATGACATATCCAACAAAGATCTAATCTCCAAATGTATGAAATACTTCAAAACTTCGATAACAACAACAACAAAAAAAAAATTAAAAATGGGTAAAGGATATGAACAAACACTTCCGCAAAGAAGACATTCAGGCAACCAGCAGACATATGAGGAAATGCTCGGGATCACTAGCCATTAGAGAAATGCAAACCAAAACTACAATGAGATACCATCTCTCCCCCGATGATACTGGCTCTAATCACAAAGACGAAATAACAAATGTTGGATAGGTTGTAGACAGATTGGAACTCTTATGCACTGCTGGTGGGAATGTAAAATGGTACAATCACTTTGGAAAATGATATGGTGCTTCCCTAAAAAGCTAGAAATAGAAATACCATATTATCCAGAAATCCCACTCCTAGGAACATATACTCTAGAGAAATAAGAGCCACCACATGAATAGACATATGCACACCATGTTCACTGCAGCACTATTCAATATCAAAAAATGGACAACAACCTAATAGTCCATCAACAGATGAATGGATAAACAAACTATGGTACATACACAAAATGGAATACTACCCAATGATAAAGAACAATGATGAATCTGCAAAACGTCTCAAAACATGGATGAATCTGGAGGGCCTTCTGCTGAGTGAAATAAGTCAGTCACAAAAGGACAAATATTGTGTGAAGCCACTATTATAAGAACTCAAGAAAAGGTTTACACATAGAAAAAAACATTCTCTGATGGTTATGAGGGTGGGGAAGGTGGGGAAGGGGAAATCACTAACTAGGTAGTAGACAAGTGTCAACTTTAGTGACGGGGAAGACAACACACAATATAGGGGAAATCAGCACAACTGGACCAAAGCAAAACCATGGATGTTTCCTAGACACATCTAAACACTTTGAAGGATAGACTAGCTGGGCTGGGGGCTGGGGACCATAGTCTCAGGGAACATCAAGGTCAATTGGCATAACATAGTTCATAAAGACACAGTTCATAAAGAAAATGTTCTTCATTCCACTTCGGTGAGTAGCAGCTGGGGTCTTAAAAGCTTTTGAGCGGCCATTTAAGTTACATCTATTGGTCCTATCCCATTCGGAGCAAAGAAGAATGAAGAAAACCAAAGACACAAGAAAAATATTAACCCAAAGGAGTGAAGAGCCACATGAACCAGAGACTCCACCAGCCTGAGCCCAGAAGAATTAAATGGTGCCTGGCTACCACCACCAACCACTCTGACAGGGATCACAACAGACAGTCCAGGACAGAATGGGATAAAAATGTAGACTAGGATTCGTATTCATGAAAAACAGCGCAGACTTACTGGTCTGACAGAGACTGGAGAAGCCCAAGAGACTATGGCTTCAGGATGCTCTGCCAACCCAGAACAGAAACCATTCCCGAAGCCTACTTTTCAGACCAAGATTAGACAGGCCTCTAAAACAAAAACTAACACCCGTGAAGAACGTGTTCAATCCACTATGGGATACCAAATGGGCAACTCCTGTCCAAAAGCAATACAAGAAGTCAGGAAGGGATAGGAACTGGACAAATGGACACAGGGAACCCAGGGTGAAAAGGGGGAGCATGCTGTCACATTGGGAGGATTGCAAAGAATGTCACAAAACAGTATGTGCATACATTTTTGAATGAGAAATTGACTTCAGCTGTAAACTTTCACCTAAAGCACAATAAAATTTAAAAAAATAAATAAAGCACAAAATATAATTCAAAAACCTATATGTAGATAATTAAAGATATGGGCAAGTCTTTATTCAGTTAACTATTATTTTTTTAGAAATTACCTGATTAACATCTTGATAGTTCTCAATTTCTCCACTTCCAGTTTGACATTTACCATCATTAAAATCCCAACCAGAGTATGGGACTGCTGGAAAATCCCTATTTCCAGGGTTGAAGTAACTTCCACAAGTACTGCTTGTTCCTGCACTCACACCACTTCCACTCATATGATTAATGACAGCATCCACATAAATACGGACCTGAAAAGCAAAGTTCCTATTTCAGTTTGACTTATAGAGAGGTAGAAATCAAGTATTATTCGTTAATGTTTACAGCATATAAATAAAGTTCTAAAATATTTCTTTGTTATTTAATAACTTATGTTCCTTGAAGACCAAAGGTCAAGTGTGAAAGGCAACTAAGATGAACTCAAGATCTACATGCATTCTAGTCACTTTGGTAAATATTTACAAATATGATAAACTGAAAGAAACAGAAACTTCCATAACTTTGAAGAGATGCAGAGCCTTTTCTTGGAAGATAAGAATCAGTTGAGATGGAAAGATTATTGTATTTTGAAATTTCACTGGGTCACCCTGAGGAAGAAACAGCCAACCTCTGCTCTCTACTTAGCATTTGAAGAAGGGAAGTAGATATTAGCCTTTCTTTATGTTCCTTATCAAAGACAGAAAATAACCATATACCATCCAGAAATCTAGGGAAAAAGATCAATGAATTATGGGTGGAGACACAAGTCAGAGAAAAGTGACAGCAAATATTGTAAGTGGCATATGCAGTTCCTAACTAGAAAAATGATGCCAAGAAATATTAATAATTATAAGGTTTAAAGTTTGTATTTTGCTCTGTGAGTACAGTCAGCTTTAAACTTTGGCTTACATCTTCTTGAATAGATAAATGGCACCAATAAAAAGGTGTACAAATGTTAAATATGATGCAATAGTTAATTTTGATTTATAGCTAAAAGGTGAAATGAAATAAAAAATTTGAAACTATGGAAAACTTTCTGTCTAAGAGGAGCAAGAGGCAAGAAAAGGAAATTACTTTCCTATGTGATATTTTTAAAGGAAACTTTAATTCACTTACACCAACATTGTTACATCGAGTCACCATGTCTCTGAATTCATCTTCACTTCCAGATCTCGTACATAACTTGTAGCTGACGGGTTGATATCTTTCCCACCAAGGTCTAAAAGGGCTGTTGATTATAGCATTTTCATTGGGTGGAGAGACCTACAAATAAAGCAGTCTTAATGAGTATTAAGTTATGGCTGACTTTGTATCATTGGATATGCTAGAAACTAATGAATAAAATTATATCTGAATCTTTGTATATGCAACTAAATTTCTTTATAATCACTTGAAAATGTTAACAGTACATTGGAAACATCTTGCTGAAGAAAGATTATATCAAAAACAAAACACAAAGTTGCCAAAAATACTGAATTTTTTCTTCCTCAGAAAGCTGTCTTACTTAGAGTACTCATGTGTGAGGTAAAAAGTTACCTCAGCTTCTCAGATAGAGATTAGAATACCGTTTACTACAGGCCCTGCAAACTCTACAATTTATATTATGAGCAATACCCACCTGAACCCCCCCAAATCCTTTGGGAGCTAAGTATCGCTCACATTCCAGAGCAATATCATCCCAGCGCCACTCAAATAGATGGACAATAGATGTTCGTCCAGATACAGTGTGTGGGCTATACTGAGCCCCGCAGAACCCAGCAGCTAAAAGTAATAGAAAGAACTTCATTTTGCTTTGAAGTCATCAGTGTTCTTTCCAGCAACTCTTTATACCCCTGTAAGAAGCATCTTTTACAAAGTAAATGTTAACATGAACAAACACAGCGCCTGCCAACTGATTATTCATAATCCGAAAAGAATTATCAATACCAGTGTTAACAGGTGAAGAACGTCCATAAAATTTCCCAGGGAAACAACCTAAATGACTTTTCAGAACTTACTGTTTTTCTTACTGTGGGAATATTAGCTTTTTCAAGCATCTGGCGTTATGTATACTTAAACTGTCCTTATTCACATGTTATTTCACAAGGATTAGATCTTGTTTCTGAAGTCCTTCCCTAGTAACCCATTGTCATCAAGTAGATTCCAATTCCAATTCATAGAGACCCTATAGAACAGAGTAGAACTGCCCCATAGGGTTTCCTAGGAGCGACTGGTAGATTTGAACTGCTGCCTTTTTGGTTAGCTGCCCACCTTTTTTTAGCCACTACATCACCAGGGCTCCCTTCCCTAATTGAAGAATAGTAATAATCAGAACCAATTCATAGTCAAAATATTGCCTTAAGTACTTATTTGCAAACATTTGCAGTGTTTAACGAATGAGGAGTTGTATCTTGTGGATGAGCAAAACAAGTGGTTTCTTGAGATGAAATCTACTCCTGGTGAAGACGCTGTGCACGTTGTTGAAATGGCAACAAAGGAGTTAGAATTTACATAAACTTAGTTGATAAAGCAGTGGCAGGGTTTGAGAAGACTGACTCCAATTTTGAAAGACGTTCTGCTGTGGGTAAAATGCTATCAAACAGTTTCACGTACTACAGAGCAATCTTTAGTGAAAGAAAGACCCCATCGATGCAGCAAACTGCATTGTTGTCTTATTTTACAAAATTGCCACAGCCACCCCAAATTTCTGCAACCACCACCCTGATCAGCTGTCAGCAGCCATCAACATCAAGGCAAGGCCCTGCACTAGCAAAAAGTTTACAACTTGTCTAAGGCTCAGATGATGGTTAGCATTTTTTAGCAAGAAACTGTTTTTTAATTAAAATATTACATTATTTTTTTTAGATATAATGTTATTGCATACATAATCAACTACAGTATAGTGTAAACATGACTTTGATATGCACTGGGAAACCAAAAATATTTGTGTGGCTCACCTTATTGTGATATTCGCTTCATTGTGGGGGTCTGAAATCAAACCCACAATATCTCCAATGTATGCCTCTATTCAGAAAGAATTATCAGTAACAATGTTAACAGGTGAAGAACATCCATAAAATCTCCCAGGAGTACAATCTAATTGAGTTTTCAGAAATTAATGTTTTTCATACTGAGGGAATACTAGCTTTTTCAAGCTATGGCATTATATATATGTAGACAGTCCTTATTCACGTGTTATTTGATTAGGATTAGATCTTGTTTCTGAGTACTTCTTTAATAGAAGGATAATAATAATCTGAACCAATTAACATTCAAACTATTGCCTTAACTATTTATTTGAAAATATTTATAATGATTCAATTTCAGAAAGAAAAAGGGTATCCAATTCAATTGTTTTTCACCCCAAATTTTTTAGAAGTTTAAATTTCTGTATTTAGACTGAAGAAATTATTTGGAAATTGAATGCCCATGAATTGGAGAAACAGACTTCCCACTCCTCCTTCCATCAAATTGTGTATTTAATGCCTACAACAGTAGCTTTTCCCCTCCATAGTCAAGTGTATCTTGAACCCAATGAAACACCAAAAAAAATTTGCCTCCTTTTTCTTTATATATAAACTAAATTCTATGAAACAGAATAATACTACAGGTGAGATAAAACTAATCCATCCATTCAACAAGTACTGAGTGTCTACCTTTTGCGAAGCACCCTGAATGTTGTTCAGGATATAAAATGGGAGGCTTATATTACTTACTACATGAGTGAATAATAATAATAACAATAATAGTAATGATAAAATAATTTGATAGCAATAAGAAGTAGTATAAAAATACTAGGGTAATAAAATAGAGAGTGACTGTGGTCAGTGTATTTTAGACTGGATAGTCAAAGAAGGCATCTCTGAGCAAGTGATTTTCAGCAGTGAATTCAAGGGTTAGAAAGAGACCAACATTTGAAGATCAGAGAAAGAGCAATCTAGATGAAGGAAACAGCAAAATTAAAGTCCAAGGTAGGAAAAAACTTAGGATATTCAAGGAACGCACACTTAAAAAGTTAATTTGGCTAAAGTAGGTGTGGGAAGAGGAAGTAAAATGAGATGAGTAAGGCCAGAGAGGTAAGCCAGACCATGTAGAGCCTTGTAGAACGTGATGAAAATGGGAGTCATTGAGGCTGTAAGAATGGGAGGTGACATACTCTGATATACTTTAAAAGAAAATCACTCCTAGAAAACTAAAGACTCAGGGGAGTAATTGGTCATAAGGACTAATGGACCACATGAACCACAACCTAAACGACCCCATGACCGGGAGAACAGGAGGGTACCAGCTCCTCTGACTGGGATCACAACGGAGAGTTCCAAACAGAGCAGGAGAAAAATTATTAAACAAAAAAATGAAATTCACAAAAATAACTAGACTTACTGGTCTGACAGAGACTACAGGAACTCCCGAGACTATGGCCCTAAGAAACCATCAGAACTGGAACTGAAGACATCCCTGGAGACCACCTTTCAGCATAACCATAGAGAGGTTCATTAAATAAACAATAACACACGGGAAACGTGCTCCTTAGAACAATCAATTGTAAGAGATCAAAAGTGCAACATTTACACGAAGGTAAAGATGAGCAGGCAAGAAGGGGTAGAAAATTAGGAAGAATGGTAATGGGGAAACTAAGATGGAAATTGGGAGAGCGCTGACACGTTGTGAGGAATGAAACAAACGTGATGGAAGTCTTTATGCACAAACTATTGAATGGGAAACTAATTTGCTCTGTAAACTTTAAACCTAATGCACAATAAAAATTAAAAAAAAGAAAATCACTTTTGTTGCTATGAAATAATTGGATAATAGGAGGGCAAGAGTGGAGGAAGGGAGATCAGTTCGATTGAGTAAGCAACCAAGCAAGCAAGCAGAAATGGGAGAAGATAGATGCCAAGCCACATGAAAATTGTTGAGGAGTTGAAGCTAAAAACCAGCAAGGACCAGCCTCCAGGGCCAACAGAGAAAGTTTTTCCCTAGAGCTGACACCCTGAATTCAGATTTCTAGCCTCCTAACTAACTGTGAGAAAATAAATTTGTTTGTTAAAGCCTCCCACTTGTGGTATTTCTGTTACAGAAGCACTAGATAACTAGGACACAGTTTGATATCAGAGAGTAGGGTACTGCTCTAACAAATACCTAAAAGCTGAAATTGGTTTTGGAATTAAACAATGAGTTGAACCTACAAGAGGTTCGCTATGAGTCAAAATGAACTCGACGGCAGCAGGTCTGGATTTTTTGTTGTTGTTGTTGTTAATAGTAAAAGCCTAGATTCCTTTGAAGAAAGCGTTGGTACATTTATGGACATCAAAGGCAATTCTGGTGAGGGCTCAGAAAGCAGTGAGGAGAGCTATTGTCTTAGAGAACACATATGGCATTGTCAACTGAATGGTGCTGGAAGTGTATACGTTAAATATGCTTCAGGTGAGACTTTAAAAGGAAATGAACATGCGATTGGATGATGCAGGAAGGGATACTTTTTATGCAGTGGCAAAGAACTTGCCTAAATTATGTTCAAATGTTTGGTGGAAAGTAACACTCATAAGTGATGAACTTGGATATTTGGATAAGGAGATTTCTAACCAAGATGTTAAAAAGGGCAGTGTGGTTTCTCATTACCACTTACAATAGAATGTAGGAGGAAAGAGATGGACTTAAAAATGAACTATGTAAAATGAAAGCAGAACTTAAAGATTTGGGAAATTCTGTTGTACAGTCTAAGAACATATGCCTAAAACACTCAGCAAGGACTTGGTGGCTCAATCATTTGTTAAAGAGATCAAGTCTGAGACTGATGAATCCGTTCAATAAAATAAACAAAACTTCTGTCAACTTAAACGGAAAGGGGAAGAAATAGGACAAAATGAAGGAAAGCTGCCTGCCTCCTAGAATTCTATAGGCAGAAAGCAGGCTAAATAAGCTACACCTGTTTTCTTCTAAGAAAAGAATAGGACCATCTCTGGAGTAGCTTGAAAATCAGCAAGACTGCTGGAAGAAACACGGGAAGCAGGGCTGCCTGGGTTTCAAAGGGTAGAGCCATGGCTTCCTAGGTCTCAAAGGGTGGAGCCACGGCCTCCTAGTTCTCAGAAGTCATATATCCACCAACACAGTTGAGGCATGTGGGACTCCCATACATTTTGGCAAGTAGATGGGGCTGAAACCAAAAGCTGAGGGGACAAGGCTGCCATGCCCAAAGGCCAGCAGAGAAGGGCCTGCCAGGGCCAAGGGGGTGGGATCAACACTCAGGTGACTAGAAGAATGGGACCACCCAAAGGCCAGGGAGCAGAATTACCATCACAGTGGGCCTGGAAGGCGGAGCTGAGCCCTGGACCGAGGAGCTTCCACCAACAATCCAGAGTGTGGTTAACACCCAGAGTCTGGAGGTAGGGCCATTGCCAGGATCATCTTAAAGAATTGAAGATTATTTTCAAGCACTGAGAGCTCATAGAATTTGTTCAGCTGGGTTTTTGATTTGCTTGGTGCACATTACCTCTTCTTATCCTCCAATTTCTCCCACTTATAAAGGAAATGTCTACATTATGCCTGTTCCACCTAGATTTCATAGGTTCACAGATGAAGAATAATTTTCTCCAGGATAGAATATGTCTAAAGTCTAAACTATATATGATGGAGATGATTCAGAAGATGAGATTTTGGACTTGGAGTTTATTTAAGACATTTGGGATGATGTGGTGGGATGAATATTTTTACATGTGGGAAGGAATGAATTTTGGGAGGCCAAACAGTAGAAATTTATGGGTTGTATTGTGTACCCCCTAAATACGTTCTATGAATTCTAACTCCTATACCTGTGGTAATAATCCCATTTGGAAATGGGTTTTCTTTGTTATGTTAATGAGATTCTGTTAGTGTAGGGGGTGTCTTAAGTCAATCTCTTTTGAGATATGAAAGAGCAGATTGAGCAAGAAATCAAGCAGAGATGGGGGAAGACAGTTGCAAAGTCACATGAAGATCACCCAGGAGCAGAAGCCAAAAAGAGAGAAGGATCTTCCTCCGGAGCCAACAAAGAAAGAAAGCCTTCCCCTGGAGCCAG